ACAGACAGAGAGAAATAGAGAAACAGACAGAGAGACAGTCAACTCATACTAACAATCTTGTAATTGTCCCTGAGTCTCTATTGAAGGTACAAACCTAAGACTAGTGATGGGTCGTACCCATAGACTGTATATAAAGAGGTCGTACCCACAGACTGTATATAAAGAGGTCGTACCCATAGACTGTTCATTATGCAATGTACTACATTTTCTCACTGTCTTTTCTCATAATCCAAGGTGAAGTGTTTGTTGTGTGCAAAAGAACGGAGGACCCCCTTCAGTATTGGGAGAGGCAAAGGATTATTTACCCGAACCTGTACAAGCTTGCTGTTGAGTTTGTGTGCACCCCTGCCTCATCTGCACCCTGTGAAAGGGTGTTCTCAAAAGCAGGAGAAATTGTATCAAAAAGAAGGAATCGACTTCAAACAAGCACAGTTGAACACCTCTTGTTTTTAAATATAAATAAATAAAACCCTTGCACAAGCACTTTCACTGCCCTCTTCGTGTTCACAAGCACTTTCACTGCCCCTTACCTTGTTAAAATACTGAAACAAACAGAATAGTAATTTATTTATGTGAGTGAACACATGAACAATACATGAAATGCATTTATTAAGATCAATTGATTTCTTTTACTTGGTAGTCATGCGTGTTTAGCAGTCTTTGACCAGCAGGGGGGTTTGGGTGCACATGGAGCCTCGAGAAATGAACCTTTTTGTGAACCAGTTGGCTGGAAGGCTTCAGGGCTTCAGGAGGCTTCATCTCGCCATCACTTCCTGAGACATGCTGAACAGAAACGTTTTAAACGTGTGACTGATAAACCGGCAGTTGCGATCTTTTCCACGCAGTTTGATGACGTCGTCTCTCTACGCCGGAAAGGAACATTTGAAAATGTGTTTTTGTCGGGACAACAAACAACAGACGGAGTTCGATGCTTCGGTGTTAAGTGACATCACCGAGACTGCGCTCTCCGTCTGATTCACACAGACCCGGGCGACGTATTTTAACTAGCGGCTAGCTTTGTCATAGACTCGATGTGTCAGCAGGCTAACAGTCTGTGTAGCTGTAGTTGAAGTTAGCATTTGAGGTGGCTGTCGCTCATCTGTTTTTACACATATTTATACATATTCATCGAATCTCTACGCTAACACCTGGTCCAGCAACACACGTTTAGGTTTTTTATTGACTAACAACATGATTAGAATAATGTTGGTCAACTCGGCATAAGTTACAGCTCTTGTTGTGCTTGGAGGAGACAAGGTGATGTCTGACGTCAGGGTGAACATGTGTGAACCAGACTCATACGGAGCACAGGGAGAACCGTGTCCTGACCCCGTGAGACCTCCGAGGAATGAGGCTCCCGGGCCTGACCTGCAGGGGTAAGACCTTCATTCACCCTCCGTTAAATGACAGCTCATGACACTGATAAACGAGTCATGTTGGTCCCTCTGATCTCTTCCAGTCCTCAGCCTGCTGGTCACCCATCCCCAGCAGATGCCAGCCCCTCAGCCTCCGCTGAGACAAGTGGCTTGTTGTCTTTACCATGGGAGATGCTCTCCCACATCGCCTCTTACCTCCCTGCACAGTGTGTCTTCTCTGTGCTGCCAAAGGTACGTCTTCAAGATCGATTGGCCCAATGCTTTGATGATATCCTGTCGTCTTGTGTTCTAGCTTACTTGTGTTTCCTCAGTCACCAGAGGATTTTACAATGTTATATATTTCCCTCTTTCACTGTATGTTCCAAACATTGTTATTGATCCTCTATCAGGTTTGTTGTCTGTGTGCTTTTTAAAAAAAGCGTGTATATACTTTCAGAATTAAGCATTTCCTAATTTGAAAGTCCTCCGATGAGTTGTTCTTGTGAACAAACAAGACTTGTGTTTGCATTTGGTGTGACTTAACTCACAAAACCCATTATGTGTTTTATTAGGTGAGAAGAAATATTCAGTATTTCCTTTGGCAGGATTGCGTATCATTCCAGCCTCTTGCACATGCATGTGAAAGTTGTGTTCTGAAGTTGATTATGTCCCAATTCTGAGCGTGCACTGGATAAAAGAAAATGTGGACCCACTCATGCAAAACTGCTCCATGGTGTTACTAGAGGTCAGACAGTGGACAGGGGATATTTAAGACTTTCTAGATCTTCCATTTGTTGTACATTTTCTGTCTAAAGTCTGTTTCTCATCTTTTCAGGTCTGCCAGGCATTGGGTAATTTGGAAAAGGACAGCAGCGCTTGGCAGCTCCGAGCACGTAGATTAATAGGATCCCAAGCTGGCTTTCCAGTAGGGCCAAGGGAAGACTTTGACTGGCTTACTGCTTGCCTGGAGATGGAGCAGCTGATAATCTGCTGGAAAAACCAAGAGGAGCTTTTGGCCAGACAGGCTCAGAAAGAGGAGGAGGACAGTAATCAAGTAAGGCAGCGGCAACAGGCGGGGCAGGACAGGGAACCAGGTGCAGGGGGACAGGATGGTGGCGGAGAGGCTCAGGTAGAAGGGGCAGGGGTGGCTGCGGAGGTGATAATAGAAGATGATGATGGTGAAATTGTAGCAATAATCGAAGAAGAAAGGGACCACAGGATGATGTTTGATGCCAATCAGGAAGATGGGGCTCTTAATCACCAAGAATACCTGGCTGACCCCAGGAATCTGGGTAATGGAAGACAGGCAGAGATGGAGCAAAGTCACCCCTGCAGAAGTCCTAGCCCACCCCCAGCCCTGGAATGCATCACCATCCTTACAGACCACATTGCCTCAGTCAACTCTGTTCTCCTTGTTGGGGGAGAGGGGAAAGTTTGTGCCACAGGTTCCAGAGACTGGAATGTTAAACTTTGGGATCTACAAGCAGGCTCTAGTGGGACGCTGCTGCACACATTGGGAGGACAGGATGCGTTACACACCCATCGGGGCTGGGTCTGGTGCTTGGCATCTCGAGGGTCTCTGCTGGCCTCAGGGTGCTTCGACAGCACAGTGAGGCTGTGGGACCTGCAGGCAGGTGGTGCAGTGGGGGGCCTGATCAGAGCTGATTCTGCTGTCCTCTGCCTGTCCTGTCAGACAGATGTGTTACTGGCTGGTACAGTGAAGATGATCACCATGTGGGACACCAGAGGTGAGGGGGTTTAACATTTTACAGCTTGACAGTTTAGTGGCTGAGTGCAAATAACGATAAAGATTATCATGTATGAGATGACCATCAAAACACTTCAATCGTTTATAGTGTTTGCTTTCTTTGGCATTAGCACCTGGCAAAGAAGTTTATTGAACATTTTTATCTGCAGCGGCCAGCCCCGTGGTGAAAAGTCTCTGTCTCCATGGTAATGCTGTGATGTGCCTGGCTGCAGATGACAAGTACATCATCTCTGGGAGTAAAGATCGCACTGTAGCTGTATATGATCGCAGGGCAGGCAAAGTCTTGAAGAAACTTCGGGTAGCTGCAAACACACAGACACACTTGTGATTTGCTGTTGTTTCTATGCTCACTGTAACAACTCCAACCGATCTGTCCTTTTCTAGCTGACTTCTTACCTGCGGTCCATGAGCTACAGTGACAGTGAGGTATGGGCAGGAGACAACAAAGGCATGCTCCACTCCTTTTCCATGCAAGCAGGGACCTTAAAAGACAGGGGGTCTAAGTTTGATGTGGGACATACTGCTATGGTCACTGGCATCCACAGATCTCTCGGGAGCCTCTACACCTGCTCATTTGATCGTACTGTCAAGGTAGGAACAGGCAAGTGCCCTGTTATGTCTCCTATTGAGCTAACTCTGCCACAGAACTAATGCTTTTTAATGATGTTTTGCAGGTGCACATTCCTTGTGGTCCTCCGAGGACATTATGCACACTGCATCATCAAGCTGGAGTCAGTGGGGTTAGTGCTTTGTTCCACATCTTTTAGATTCTAATTGTTAAAATGTTTGTTTTTCTCCCTTTCACCCAAACCACTCTTGTCTCTGTCTCCAACCATCAGCTGAGTGTGGACGCTGGAGTCTTTGCTGTTGCCACAGGAGATGTGTGTGTAGATGTCTGGAGGCCCAGAAAATGACAGAGCAGTGCCTGCAAACTACAGAATGTGTCAAGAATGAATAGCAGAAGACAAATAACTACCTGCAGCCAAACAACACCATACCTGTCTATCAGCATTTTTAAATTTGGAATACCTGGATTATACAACAAGCACATTACATAAAACATACAGCTCTGCATCTGTTATTAAGCGAGATGTTGGTAGAAACTTAAAGGAGACATACTTTGCTTTTCAAGTTTTTTGATGCGTTTTTGAATGTTAGAGCATTTAAGCCTTTTCAAGTAATTACCCAAATTAAAAGTGTAAACCTGAATATGAGCATAATATGTAGCGTTTAACGAATCAATATTAAAAGGTACGGGTGTAAATGAAGATAGATGTGGTACATATGGCCAAGCAACGCATTTCACTTGCTGCACTGCTGAAAAAAAAGTTTTAAAAAGTGTAAAAATAAAGTTTTTGGAAAAAGTGCTGCCGGTTGTTTAGTTTAGCTGCACTGTTAAACTGTATGTTGATATTGTAATATGGCAGAGGTATGTTTGTAAAACTTCAAGTCTCTTCACCTTTATTTGTTCCTTGTTTGATTCATAACACAAACAGGAATCATATTTATGACTAATGTCTGCATTCAAAGCTTTCAAAGATGTTTGTTCCTTGTTCCTTTGTTCATCCTCTTTGAATTGTTTGTTTCATTAAATAGCCTGAAGAATTGAACATTTATAATATTCACATGTTCACAAATTGACTGAACTGACATTGCATTAGTTAGAGAACACAATTAATGAATTATACATTTATTGTTCTAGTTTTTGAGGGTATGTCTATGAATGCTGTTTGTGTGTTTTAATTATAACAATGTCATTGTTTGGTTAAATGTAACTATACATCATTTGCACTATACTTGTCGGATGCACATGTAAAAACACTGAAAGACTGTTTCCGCTGTCATTAGATGTCATTAAAATCTAGTGTCTGATTCATTGGTTGTATTTCTTCACTGTTTTGGTTTAACAGCTTTATTTGACTTGATCTGAGCCAGTTACTGAGGTAAATCCTCACTGTTGTACATTTACACCAGAGGTATTAATATGACAGATTAAGGAGGGTGAGATTTAGATTCATTCTCTACCAGAGATGATGAGGTCACGAACCATCTGATGTGGATATCTGACTGTCTGAACTGTTGTTACCAGCTCATCCAYGCTGAATCACATCAGAATTATATTTGGTTACAGCAGATTATTATTTTCTTTCAGTTTAAGTGAATGTGTAGTATATAAATAAAAAATATTTTATATGAGTAATAATTGTTCTGTCAAATTCCTATTGAACTATACCAGCTGCATATACTTACAGCATGTTGAWATGTGAGAAAATAAATATGTTGTGCTGTTTATTCAATAGATGCACTGATCGTTATGTCAAAGTAAAGAAATTAGCTTTAGCTTGACAGTCACAGTAGAAGTCACAGATAGATTTAAAGGGCCCATATTTTACACCTTTCTGTGATTTAAGGTATTGGTGAGGTATTGGTACTCCCAAGATAGCACAGGCTGCATACTGGCGAACATGAGTAAAAATGTCTCTGAATCTTGACAACAGGGGCAGGATCTTTCCCCGGGCGCCTTCATGGCTGCCCACTGCTTCGTGTGGTCACTGTGTGTACTGTGTTCCGTGTGTGCTGTGTTCACACGGATCGGTTAAATGTAGTGGTCATATTTCCCCATGTTGCATGCAGTGCTGTGTGTGCATGAATGTGGGACAAAAAGAGGAATCTTCCTCCTTCCTCATTCTTCCTCCTTCCTTTATCTTAAACTTATTGCTTCATCTGGAAATTTCGGTTGCTCCCATTTTCCACCGCGGCCAGACCTCTGAATGAAAGTGTGGCTGCCCTTCTTCCTCTGGGCACATGAGAGTTACTGTGCTTTGACACGCAAACGCATGTTACAGACTGTTTAGCACTAAACTACAAAATGAAACACATATTTTGTCCCAGTTCAGTTTGTTTGCTCCAGATTTGAAGTAACCACTCAAGGGTTTTTTACTCAGGTTCACCTAATTCATATGTCAAAATGATCTAAATTCAATCAAACATTAAAATGCTGCAACAATGGATTATTCCTTTACAAAATTATTATAGCAAAAATACCCAAGATTCACCGATTTCATCTTCTTTAATTGTATTTATTTATTTATTGCTTAATTCAGCTGAAGCTTTTGGGATCAGACAAAACGCGACATCTTCTGAGTTATGCAACAAAACAAAAAAACAGCAACCAATGAGAAACTGGAGTAAAACTGGTTTGAATCTTCTCTGTACCAGCTCTGTGCAGGTTGTTAACAAAAGAGGAAAACTATCCTATTTTGTTTGTCTACAACTTTTTTCATTTTGCTGAGTTATCAAAAGAGCTATTGTGTATCATTGAAGTTAAAATTGTTTTACTTTTGAACATTTTAGAGCCTGTACTTTCTCACTTTTACTTGAGTAAGGAGTTGAATCAGTACTTCTACTTTTACAGGAGTGTTTTTCACACAAGTATCTGTACTTTTACTTAAATATAGAAGGTGAGTACTTTTGCCACCTCTGGACTCAGGTCACATTCAAATATTTCAATACTGTTTAAATTATACTTCAAATACAAATAAATACTACAAACTGGGGTTAAAGCTAGAAAATATTATTGATCATGAAGAATTGTCCTGGAGGAGATGTGGAGGAATAAAGTATTCTTCATTTAAATAAGTCAGGGATAGTGAATGTTTTGTTGCCCTGCTTTGTTGTTGACATTATCAGCGATGTTGGCTGATTCTTCACTTCCTTCCATGTTCCGAATTCTTTTGTCAAATTCCTATTGAACTACTTATTACCAGCAGCATACACTGCATTTTGTTATGTGAGAAAAATGACCTCATGGGTTTGTGCTGTTTATTCACTTGATGCAGTAAAGAAATTAGCTTTAGCTTGACAGTCACAGGGYAATAATAATAACTTTAACACTAACTTTATTTGTACAGCACTTATCTAAACAAGGTTACAAAGGGCTGCACAAAAATCCATGGCAATAAATTACTGAACTAAAATAACAGTTATTCAATTCAGTTCAATAGTAACAGACAGATGGAAGTCCTTACCTTTGCTTATGTGGCTCTGGACGAAGTAACTCTGCAACATGGAGGACAAGATGCTTTTATAGGCAATACTTATACTTTCACTTTTACCTCTAGTTTCACTTTACACATCTGATTTCAAAATATGTGACCTGAACAAAGTCCAGACCTTTTCTTTGTTCAGACAAAGAACAATCACTCGCTGGCAGGGACCCAGGTCAAATCAAATCAAACCAAACTAATAAAAATGATTGTAACCCTTTAGAGCATCTGAAACTCATAATCACAACTCTTAATGATTCATTTCCTGGTTGGATCTGGCACCTCATTTGTCATCAGGAAATCTTTAAACAAATGTTGTGTAATTCTATTCAAAATTGTCTGTTCTGCCATTGTTTTGCTTCTCTCTGACTTTAGTGTGGCTTCTGTTTTAGCACCATGGACAGATTACAGGTTACTTAGAGCAGAGGAGGTTGATAAACAGACAGAACATATATCATCATCATAAAAAAACATTATTTATGGGATTGTTTTAACAAATGAACCATTGCACTACTCTGAAATCACGCTTCCACTCAGGGTTATAATAGCATGAGGAGAACTTACCCTATCACCAGTGCTCTTTAATTTAGACAATGTCAGATTTTCTGCTCCCTCATCAGTGGCAGGGAGACAAATCAAGTGTGAACTGTCATTGTGAGTTAATACATTTGACAGTAGGAAATCTGCAGTTGCATTCTCAGGCATGTTTTGTCCTTGGCAGTCTGTTATGTGTTGGCGCTTCGTACTCTGCGGTCAAAGCAACACACAGGTCTTCTTATCTTTGAAAGGATTGGATGAAGCTGCGATGCCGGTGAGCAGAGGGTCACTGCGTCTGTGGTCCTTACAGTACTGGACCAAGTCTGCTGCTGTCAGGGACATCTGCTGGGACAAAGGTGGACAGCTTTGACAGGATATACAAAGTTAAACTACTCAGTGGACATTAATGGAGCATTTTAGTAAATTCCAAACTATGGAAATCAACCAATCAATTCAACTTTTTGTGCACTTTCAACTACCTCACAACTGACTGATGAGAGACAAACATGTGGACAATGATATTCCATAATATACATTAAAAGCAATAATAATAAAGATTGTTTGCAACATAGATGAAACAAATTTATGTCTATTAACCATTTTAATCAAGAGTTAGACTGCACTTTCACTCCTGCACTTTGCAACAACTAACTGAGTCGTGCTGAAGGACTCGAGGAGCTGGAATACTTCTTACACTGTGAACATGTGAGACATCTATGCTGACGAGAGACCCTGATGTGGTTTAAAAGTAAAAGAGTCTCAAAATCAAGATGGAAACCCACAGGCAGCCAATGTAAAGGTGAAATGAATGTGGTCTATTCTTCTGGTCCTTGTCAGCACCTGAGCTGCAGAGATCTGAATCGGCTGTAGCTTTTCAGATGCATGTTGTTCACAGATTATTTAAATCAATACATACCTTGATTCTCTCCATGCTTGCCTCCACCCGAAGTTGATCCACCAGCTTTTGTGTCTGAACAACACTGTTGTTGCTGCACATCTTTCCTGACATTGCCCTTGGCAGAAAGACTGAATATCTGTGATCAGTGTCGTTCTTTAACACCCGCAGCAGCGCTGGGAAACGGGATTGGAGCAGTGCTTCATCTGATTCACAGAGTCAGCTCAGAGTGTGCACGAGTGTTTGGTCAGACGAGCTCCTGAGTTTCCTTTTTGAGCTGTGCCCCCTCTTTTTACCACTGTTGGGTGCAGTTCAAAGGCTCTGTGATATAAAAGGTCATGGAACACTTTGTTGAAAATGTCACAAACATCACACAACACTTCACAGCCACTATCGATGAAGAGTATTAAGTACAGCAATATGCTGCTTTATACATTTGATATGTCATTTCAGTGGGCACTGGTGAAGGCTGTCAATAATGAGTCACATAGCACATAGAGCACTGGCATACATTTTATAAAATCAGTGCGTTAGTGACCGGGCAAGATTCCTTGGATCACTTACAAAATTACTCAGGGGAAGTAGGTACCTGAATTCCAGTGTTTGATCATTTAGATGTTGGGTATTTGATGATGTGGTAAATTGTGTCATTTTTTGTGCCTTTAGCTGATATTCATTTGTACGAACGACAACTTTTTATTTTTCATTGAATAAATACTATGTATGTAAAAAAACAGGAACCCATTTGCCTGGTGAAAAAATGACTAACAAACATGATTTCAAATAATTAAATGAGATAAAACACACAACAGCAATAATGATAATAATACATCAAAAGTAGCACATTAAAATGTAATTACTGAATAAATTGTGGTATTGACAACATATTAATAATCATGACTTCATGGTTATTAATAAAACTACTACTAATAACAATACAAATATTAATAACACTGATAATACATGTGGAAATATGTCAGCGTGAGTCAACTACCACTACTACTAATTGATTCACCAGCACATTTGCTTGGTGAATAAATTGAATAAACATGAGATCAAACACGTAAATACTGCTACTATTACTATTGTTAGTTATTATAATGATGATAATAATAATAATGATAATAATACGACGGAGTGGCGAAAATAAAGTCCAAAAGATAAAGTATCTCCATGTTTGTGAAACCTATACTAAAGTACAATTCCACGAAATGCTCCGCTAAAACAACGGGTTAGAATATTTATGACTTTATTCTCGTAATTAATTCCCCCCATTTTTTTTTTTTTTAAATGTGACCCTAATACTCCGTTGTATAATAATAATCATAATAATCATAATAATAATGATATTAATAATAATAATGATAGTATGATCATAATAATACATGCAGGCAAAGTAATTATGACACTATTTTAATCTCATGAATGGACGGTGCAGCAGAAAGGCGGTTCTGTCAGGTTTGACCCTTCAGGCTTCCCGTAGTGACAGCTAGCTAACTACAGCCGACACATGGGATGTTTTCAGGTGTTCAGTAAACCTGTTGGTCGAATGTGTGGAAAACTCTTCACTGCTCCGACACCTGTGTAACCTGACGTCCCAGCAACAACAGGTGGGTTTTACTCGTGTCTCCAGGAGTTCGAGGCGGACAGACGGAACACCACCGGCCGCCTGTTAGCTCGCCTCGGACCCCCGGCGGTCTGGTGACAAGTGTTATTGAGGTTACTGGAGCACCGTGTGCTTGAATGCACCTCGACGTGTCTTCCTCGTGTCTCTGATCTGCTCTGGACCCACGGAGGATGATTATGATGATGATTATTCCCACAGAGACGCCGCGGTGGAAAAGTTTCTGATGGTGATTCCTGCTGGTTTGTAGCTGGAAGCTCCACCGGTCTTGTTCCTTGCTAATGTTGCTAATATTAGAGCTAGTCTTAGCTATCATAGCTGTTGTTTTATTAATGCTAACAGATGTTTGGAGCTTCCACTCTCTCTATGTATCCCTCTATATATTCCTATGTATCCCTCTATATATTCCTATGTATCCCTCTCTGTATAACCAGTCTATGGCTCCACCACAGATTCCACTTTGACTGAATTCCAGCTTTGTTGTGATGCCACATACAGTTTCTTATATCCACCAAGAGGGAGCGCTAAACACACCCGTAGCATGAATTGTACTTGTTTTGACTTTGAGCCGGATGAGAACTTACTGCACGATATGATTTACACGATGTCATTTCAGGTCGATAATTGTCACGATATTTGCCACTTTATTATTTCTGTTGTCTTGTTTAAAGACTGATGTTTGCTCCTAAGGGAAGTTTGTGTCTTAAAATCTTAATGAGCAGAAAATAACAAAAACCATGTAAAGAGCAGAGCATTTTACAAATCTGAGATCAGTCAAACATGTTTCATACCTCATCACTGCACAATGCATAGGCAACATCTCTCTCTATGTATATTTATATAGAGAGAGAAACAATTGTAAAAATGCTTCTTAGCTCCATTTGGCAGAACAGGTTGTACTTAGTTTATCATTTTGATATGAAAATAATAATTTGAAGATTAGAATGATGTGGGTTCTGATCTCGTTTTCTTTTTGGGGGTGGGTTCAATTTGGTTTGATGAAGGACCCCCCCGGTCCATTTGGCTTAGTGCGCCCCCCCCCCCCCAAAGTCCCACGAAACACTCAGCTCAGCCCCTCAGTCCTGGTCTCTACACGTCAGTCATTATGATGCTGACACAGTGTCTTTGCTCTTGTTGAAGAGATGGCAGACCGTGCCCCCTCTGTTGCCATGGAGGCAGTCCTCAAGCCCAGCTGTGAACTCCCAGAGGACATGACGAAGATCAAGGGCTATGACTTCAACCAGGGCGTCGATCTCCACCAAGTGCTGAAGTCCTACTTCACCACGGGTTTCCAGGCCAGCAGCTTGAGCTTGGCCATCCAGCAGATCAACCTCATGGTGAGAGGACTGGGGTATTTACCTGTAGTAGCCTTGAAAATTGTTTCTATTTTCTCAGATTGTGTTTGGTAAGTAAATGCTTAAAAAAAGAAATAGAACAGCAACTTGTCTTTCCTGGTGTCTGTCACTGTGGGCACATAAAATGAAAACTGTGTAGATATATATATCAAGAGATGTAAGTATGTTTGTTTTTTTTCGGGTTGAAAAACTAACCCTTGAAATAATAGATTCAGTATCGTTCCATCAGTCTGTCATTGTACATTGTGACTGTTGTTGTGTCATGACCCACAGATAGAGAAGCGACTTGAACCAGTGGAGGCAGGAGAGGGAGCTGAGTCTGGAGAATCATCCCACAGCTCGGGCTGCACCATCTTCCTGGGTTACACCTCCAACCTCATCAGCTCCGGAGTCAGGGAGAGCATCCGCTATCTGGCAGAGCACAAAATGGTACAAATTCATGCACTTAATACAATTGTCCAGGTCTGCCTCTCAGATTACATCTAAAATCAATTTTGTTACTCTTTGTGAGGTGGATGTGATTGTTACCACAGCTGGAGGTATCGAGGAGGATTTTATCAAGTGTCTGGCTCACACATACCTGGGAGACTTCAGCCTACCTGGAAAGGAGCTCCGCTTGAGAGGAATTAACAGGTTGGCAAAAAGTGATACAGAAAGTCCAATGCATGAATCAAATGCCTTTCCAACCAGACTGCTAGTTTATGAACATGCAAGTTTCATGATAAGTGATAATAATAATTGGCTTGATGATGACAACGGGTTCTCCTGAAGGTTTGAGTGCCTGGATGTGCTTACAAATCAGAGAGCGCTGTGTGCCTCTGCTGTTGTGCACTCAGAATGACAGAGCGTGGTACAGGGGTTTGATAGATCCTATTCTCCTAATGTATCTCTCCGTGTGTAGAATAGGGAACCTTTTGGTGCCCAATGATAACTACTGTAAGTTTGAAGACTGGCTGATGCCCATCCTGGACCAGATGTTGTTGGAGCAGAACACAGAGGTGGGTCTCTATGTGACTATTTTTTTCCAGTATTGGTAGTTTTTCTGAAATCAAATATTATTTTTCCCATCAAATTATTGCAGCTGGAATTTTTTCAAATTTGTCTGCTATTATTGTTTTTGTCTTTTTTTTTTCCAGGGAACCCGTTGGACTCCCTCCAAAATGATCCATCGGCTCGGGAAGGAGATCAATAATACTGACTCTGTCTACTACTGGGCCTACAAGGTGAGTCCTGTTTATAGTGGTAATGTCGTCAGGCATCACACACAAAAAAACTGCTTCAGAGTCTTAACTAAAAAGTCGAAGTTGAAACCTGATTGAATGTTATTTAATTCCCCTTTTCAGAATGATATCCCAGTGTTCAGTCCTGCTCTGACAGATGGCTCTCTGGGGGACATGATCTACTTCCACTCTTATAAGAACCCTGGCTTGGTGCTGGACATAGTGGAGGGTAAAAAGCTACATCACTCGCACAAAGCAAGATCACAGCAGCAGTCTTAGTTGGTCATATGTGTGGACTACATGTGGTGAATGTGGACTTTATTTCAGATATCCGTAGGATGAACAGCCAGGCGGTTTTTGCCAAGAAAACAGGAATGATCATCTTGGGAGGAGGCCTGGTCAAACATCACATAGCCAATGCTAATCTTATGGTAACATCCTACTGTTTAGTCTTTATCTCTTTCTTTTTTATTACATAGTTGACTGTCATAGCTGCTTTCAGACATGCACTGAACTCCACATCTCAGGATGAAAAAAAGCTGTCACATATGAAAGGTATAAAGATGTCAACTTGGAGAGATAATGAGATTTGAGAGTGTTTGGTGATTCGGGCTAACGCTGGTGTTAATGTGCTGTAAACAAAAAATATGGGAATTCCAAAGCTGAATTCAAACATCATGTCCTGCCTCCTGTGTGCTCTACCCAGATGCCACCCCTTTCCCATTGTTATGAATGTGTCTCACCTGGAATATCTACCACTGCTCTCTTCATATGTAAAAGACAAAGCCCAGGAAATTGTGACATTTTGTTCATGTCTGAAAAAGGCTTCATTCATTCATTCATTCACTGTCATACATAAGGTATAACAGCAAAGCAAACCCCTTCACCGACACATTCCCTCTCCTCTGTCTCCCTCCAGAGGAACGGAGCCGACTATGCAGTGTTTGTAAACACAGGTCAGGAGTTTGATGGCTCGGACTCTGGGGCTAGACC